TTTTAAAATCCCGGTCGGTGTCATGTCAGGGAAGGGGAGGGTGAAAAGGGTGATTTTCCCTATCTGAAAAACCATCCTCTGGGAGCGGTGTGTCTGGGGAAAGGTGCAGCAGCTTTTCCCTGCGTTTTCAAAGTAAACGCAAACTTCACGCAGAGTTTTTCCAAAATCCATAAGCGATCGAGCTGTTTTTTTTTGGGGGGAGGAGCTGATACCAAGGCTTGAGCAGCTCAACTCGAAAAATGAACCTGTTTGAATGTAGAAACCTACATATCTAGACACGGCCGCAGGTGCTCACTGCAAGGAAATAATGCTTTTCATAGGGGAAATCAGGGGATCGTAATGACGTGTGGGCTGGTGTGTGTGACTGTAGGAAAACTGTAAGAAAAAGGGTCAGTGCAAGATGTGTCGGGAGGCAGGAGAGTGATTTTTACATCCAGAGGTGGCATGGGCAAGGCTGGTACTGAAGTACTGCATCGAGGTCTGGTATTGACTTTTTTCCCTCTCTTATAATTTTAAAAAAAAAAATGGATATTGGAAAACGGCAGAGGATGTAGAAAAGTCACAAAGTGATCTGAGGTCTGGAAGCAGAACCTTGCAGTCAGGGGTTGGAGCTGGACTCGATTAGAACACCGTCAAGAAAAGTAAGGGGTGGCTTTGTTACGCTGCACGGGGGCTTTGAAAGGCCTGCTCCGAGGGACGTTGCTGCAGCAGTTTGAGGTGTTACGGTCACTGGGCATCGTGTGGGAAGGTCGATAAACGCGTGAGTGGGATTGCTGCAGGAGCTGGGGCACAACACTGGGCTGAGGCTGAGTGCCCGCTGCGGATTCTGGCCTCCGCTTTCTGCCAGGTAGCTGGTACCTTCTGCTTGAGCAAGTTTAAGTTTTAACAACTTAAAATAGATTAGCAAACCTGAGCAGGGAACTGACCTGGCTGGGGGGAGGAAAAATTTAAAAAGAAGTTACTTTTCAGCTGGGTAAGTTCCTTCAGCTGCACCAGCGTGCAGCTATAACACAGCCAGGCCAGCGCAGCACAGGAGCAGGCAGTGAGGGGACGCAGGAGTCCCTAGGCCGACTTCTCTGTCCTTGCAGGAAGAAAAGTGACAGTATTGGAGCAGCTCCTTAGCAGAGGCACAGCAGGACTCAGCAGGCAGAAGCCAAGGGCAGACAGATACGGAGCAGACCCAAGAGATGCCCTTTAGAAAAGAGAAACCGCGGCTCCGCAACCCAGGGGCTGCTCAGGCAGCCGGCCGGGCCCCGTGTCCCTGCCTCCCGCTGCTGCTGCTGCATACCCGCTCCGGCCAGACCAGCACAGCTTTGCTGTTGGTCTGGTCAGAGAACTCATCCAGGCTCCTTTTTATTTTTTCCTGATTATTTTTAACCTGGGCAGTTCCCCAATCTGGTGCCCAGCCTAGGTCACAAGGTTTTCCCGCGCAGCCGAGCATCGGTGCTCCGTGTCACAGGAGTGACGTTGAGGGGCAGAAGCTGTGCAGAAGCTGTGCAGAAGCTGTGCAGAAGCTGTGCAGAAACGCTGTATCATTGAACCGTACTTTGAGAAGGATTAAACAGTGGGACAGACGGCCAGAGCAGGTGGCGGACTCTATCCCAGGGACTTTCTGTGAAGCCCAAGAGCTTTTTTGTACTACGTACCAACTCAGACGTACCTCATTGTTTTCTGTGCAATGACAAGTGGCTGGAATCTCATATGTAGCATACCATCCATCAGCTTATATGAGCTCTCCTAGCTTGAATTTGCACAAACCTGATGACTGTAGTAATGAAATAGTTCATATAAGTTGGCAGCCAGTGGGATCCAGCTCTCAGGTGGTTCGTGTTTTTTTCCAGCTCTGCGTTCACCCTGCCAAACTCTTAACCTCTGTAGGACTGAAGCAGAGGGAGATTCACCTGGTGATGGGGGGTTTCTGTAACAGACATATCTGAGATTTCTGGAGCTGCATAGGCTAGACATATTTTTCCAGCACTAGTACAAAACTTTCCAAGACAACCAGGCGTCCCAGTGCTGGTACGAAGGCTGTGATGTACAAGGTATTCTCTGAACATGCGTAGGTGAAGTGTTTCCAGGCAGCGGTGACTGTTTCTCTCTGGTGGCTACTGAGTTAGAGTGAAGAGAGAGCGTATTGGAAAACTTTCTTTGCAGAAACATTACTAAGAAAACTAACTGAGTTTTAAAAAATGTATATGTATAGATCACGCAGAGAGTTTCGGAGCCAAGCATGAAATATGTTGTTGACCTTCCACTGCTACTGTGTTTCACTGATACTGTGCGAGACCCTCATGTTATTTTTGATTTCTTACTCCACAGCTGTCAGAGCGTCCTACCACATACATTTAGACTTAGAAACAGACCCAAATAGGTAGAGTCCTCCTCCTTGCTAGAACCTTAAAATTTTAAAGGAAAGTTGATGAAATTTTACAATAATTGGTTACAGAAATTATCACGTCTTAACTCAATTTGTATTTGGGTTTCTGCTCTGAAGGCGACAGATAGTTTACGCGCCTTACTACTAAAGACAGCAAGATTCAACCTCTGTCTTCTTTCAGGTAGCTTTGAAACTGGTACAGATGGCTGAGCTCGTTCAGAGGGAAAGAAGCAACTACCTGGTGAAAGTGGCAGAGGCTCCCAGAACGTGTGCGCAGCGCTGAAGCAGGAGGTAGAGAACATTTCTCTTTTCCGGCACACATCTCATACAGGGGTGAAATATTCATGGTCTTAGATGCCTGCAGAGGAAGACTGCTCTGAGCCGCAGGACTCACCCTGAGGGGTAGGAGCAGCCGTCGTGTCACACTGGGTTGTACCAAAGTGGCACCTCAGCAGTTCTAGTCCTTTATTGTTCTGCTTTGCCTGAGTAGACGCAGTCCACACAAAACTGGATTCTGTTCTTAATGGACGTTTCCAAACCTCATAGACACGCATTTTCTTGGAGTCGTCCCATTTCCCAGTGTTTTCCATCCTGAGGGAAGCATTTGTGGCACTGTGAGTGACGGTGTAGTTACAGTTATTGTTATTTCAGCTATTCATAACGTTCGGTGGTGCACTTTCTTAATGGGGGTTGGTTAGTTCCCTCATAGTTGCACATCCTGCCCACAACTGGCACTCGTGTTGATGTGCAGGCAGGAAGTTCCTCCCTCTGAAGCAATCATGGAGTGAGAAAGAGCTTGAGGGTTTGATGCTATTTTAAGAAAAGTTTCTCAGGCAGCTAAAATTCAGTGAAAGAGATCTTTTCTGGGGCTTTTACTTCAGCTAACGGTTTACCAGTTTAGATATTGGTAGAACCATATAGAAATGCAGTACTTTACCAACAAGACAAACACAACTCAAGAACAATGGGCTAAGAGAGATTAATGTAGCTTTTCATCAACATGAAAGCCACCAGAGCATACAGGAGGTATATTTTGCTGAACAGGAAACAATTTGAGCTTCCATTATCAATGGATGAGAGTGCAAAGGAAAAAAAAGAATTGCTCATTACTGTAGAAAACTTGCTAACCCAGAGAGGCAGAATCTGCCCCACATTAGAAAAGTGAAAATACAATGACTAATCACACCCTAAAATGAAGCAGCATCTGTTGCCTTCCTGAAAAAAGGTGTGGTGTTGCTGATAATAGCAAGTTTTCTTCCCCAGCCCCATTGACCTGTGTGTGGTAATTCAGATTGGTTTGCTAGGAGATGGTTTTACTAGCAGACCAGGTTGGTAGCAAAGTGGATGAAAAAACAAATACAAGAGAACCTTAGTTTCTGTGAGAAGCTTTAGAAGGAAATTCCATGTAAGCAAAGATCAAGAGCCAGTGCGAATAGACCATGAAGAACATGAAAGAGGGGATGAGAAGCGGTCCACACAACACACGGGGAAAGGTGAGGTATTTAGAGCTACAGGCGCCTATCTACAATGTTTCAGGAGAAAATGCATGTAACAAGTAACGCTGGCTCTTAATAGTTGCAAAAATGTAATTCAGAAAAAGTTTAACATCATTTTATTGGTATAACGGGGGCTAAGGGGGAAAAGAATGAAACACATTCTGGAGATGGGAGTTTGCCACGTCTGTGAACACGCCTCTTCACGTTTATAATGCTTCTTGAACGCTCACACGCGTCTGTCCGCATGGGTGAAAGGCGCAGTGTCTTAACACCAACCCTTCTGTGATTTCAGATGAAGATGTTTTGCTGTTAAAGCAGTTTGGTCACAGAGGGTTCCAACTGAAAACTGCACCAGGACAACATCACGGCAAGACGCCTGCAGGCTCGAGTTCTGCTTGACATGGCCATGTTCTACTAGACCTGCCATGACGGCATTTTTTCCCAGTGTTCCCAACTGGATTCAAGATGCAAAGCAGGAGGAGGAAGAGACAGGCTGGAAATTAGTCCCCAGACCAAGAGGTGAAGAGACCGAAAGTCAGGGAAAATGCCAATGTGAAATATCGGAGACCTCCTTCACTAATGTGGACAAGCTGAGAACTCACACACTTTCTCATTCTGAGCAGAGACCATACAACTGCCCTCAGCTGCACTGTGGCAAAGCCTTTGCTTCTAAGTACAAGCTATATAGGTAGGTAACTGCTGAGTGCCTCTGCCGAACGGTGCTCCCCTACCAGAAGAGAGGGGGAAAACCCCTCCATCATGTTTTTTTGCTTGAATTTCTGAGAAGGTGGAGGAGGGGGAATGCCCTTGTTACCTTGCAAAGCAGTTGGGTCCCAGACGTTACCATACTTGGCATCTCTTTAAGTACCTTCCAGAGAACCTCAGATAATACTTTATCCTGAGCTGAAGCTGTTTTCTGTTTTACTGAGGAGGAAGTTGAAGCAGAAAGTGAAGTTCACAGATTAAAAAACAAAATGAAAAGCAAGAATAGCATTCACATTTCATAAGCCCTACCTCTAACGTTAATCACAGGCATATTTCTATGGCAGCTGTTGTTCTAGCATGAAGAAGTAGAGTTCCTACTTATGTGCTGAAATATAGCAGAGAATAATTAAATTATATGATCGCTAGAAACTTGAAACTAGATGAACCACAGTGTCAGAGTGTAAGATACCAAGGTGAAATCAGTCCACAGTGGCTGTCAACCGACATTGCCACAGTCTGATGCCTCCTGTTGAAACGAAGCCGTCTCACCAGCAGACAAGCATTTCTTGTCATAAACTACCAAGGTTTTCTTTGTCATTCCCCCCTTTGATAGCCTCAAGAGAGAGAACAGGAGCTGAGTAGACGACTGAAGTATACCTGTGCCGAGGTGATGCATTCTAGGGCGGACGGGCACTGCTGAGACAGACGCTGTAACTGTTGCTTGAAATGTTCTGCTTCTGTGCCTGGAGAGCCCCTGCTGCCCGGGCCGTCAGGGCAGCATCTTTTAGTGGCGGTAAAATGCCACCTGGGATTTTTGTGGCATAAAGTGTAGAACATGAGGAAAATTTTGAAAAGTAGCCTGTGTTCTCTTAGGGGTTGGACACTAGTCTAAACTTTCCTGCTTTTCTCCCAAAAGGCATATGGCCACGCACTCTGCTCAGAAGCCTCATCAGTGTATGTACTGCGAGAAGATGTTTCACCGGAAAGATCACCTTCGCAACCACCTCCAGACCCACGATCCCAACAAGGAGGCCCTCCACTGTCCTGAGTGTGGCAAAAACTACAACACGAAACTGGGCTTCAGGCGGCATCTGGCCATGCACGCAGCTGCCAGTGGCGATCTCAGCTGCAAGGTATGCCTCCAGACGTTTGAAAGCACCCAAGTCCTGCTGGAGCACCTCAAAGCTCATTCTAGGCGGGCTTCTGGCGGAGCGAAGGAAAAGAAGCATCCGTGTGACCACTGTGATAGGCGCTTCTACACCCGGAAAGATGTGCGGAGACACTTGGTGGTGCACACGGGGCGGAAGGACTTCTTGTGCCAGTACTGTGCTCAGAGGTTTGGGCGGAAAGATCATCTGACCAGGCACATGAAGAAAAGCCACTCCCAGGAACTGCTGAAGATTAAGACAGAGCCGGTTGACATGCTGGGTCTCCTAAGCTGCAGCTCATCTGTCGCAGTGAAAGAAGAGCTGAGTCCTGTCCTGTGCGTGGCGTCCAGAGACATGATAGGTGGTAAGAGCTTCCCTGGCATGTTGCCCATGGGCATGTACAGCACACACCTCCAAACCATGCCAAGCTCAGGGATGCCCCATTCTTTGGTTCCTAATTCCCTTCCAATGGGAATGAGCTATCCTCTGGAGTCGTCTTCTCCCATCTCCTCCCCACCGCAACCTCCTCCAAAGTATCAGCTTGGATCTACCTCATATTTGCCTGAGAAACTACCCAAAGTAGAGGTGGACAGCTTTTTGTCAGACTTCCCTGGCAGCCTGTCTCTCTCATCTGGTGAGCCTCAGTCCTCTTCGCCTCAGCCACCCCCCCTGGATGAGGCTTTGCTTTCCAAGAGCCCTGCTAACCTTTCAGAGGCTCTCTGTGCTGCTAACATGGACTTTTCTCATCTTCTTGGCTTCCTCCCCCTAAATCTTCCTCCTTGCAATCCACCTGTATCATCGGGGGGATTGGTCATGGGCTACTCACAGGGGGAGACACAGCCACTGCTTACCACTTTGCAACACCAACCTCAAGAATCTCCCGGAGCTGGGGCCTCGCTGAACTTTGGGCCCCTTCATTCATTGCCCCCTGTCTTCACCTCCAGCTTGAGCACAACCACGCTGCCACGTTTCCACCAGGCATTCCAATAAGCTGAGCTGAAAATAGCACTGGAGAACAGATCTTTCAATCACCCTTTTGTGGAGAGCCTTAAAAACGCACAACTCTTACTTCCCTTTGGGGTGTGAAAGCTTTGCAAAGCTGTTTCAGACAGGAGGTTTCTGATCTCTGGAGGGAGCACTTGTAGACTGGAACAGCAGATATCCCCGTGCAAGTCCCAGTCCTGTACAGCGAAAAGATTACAGCTAATAGACTGGATATATTTTATCTAATTTTTAATCTGTGAATCAGGAGCCGCGCTTAGCACTGACCTTCCCTGAGATCCTGGAGCTATGTTCCTCTTTGGGAAGGGACTGTCCCCGAGAAGGAGTTGAGACTCTTTCATCTTGGGCTAAACTTCTGAAGAGTCCAGCTTCCATTTCACCTTACCACACTGCAATTCTGGCAAAACAGCCAACACCTCCACATGGAGAAGGAGGAGAAGTCAGGATACCCGCTCTGTATGAAGCCAACGGGGAAGAGGCTGTCCTTCCCCACTACCTCTCATCCCATCACCGAATACAGCTTACTCCACATCAGTGTTAAGCAACAAGACCGTTTACATAGTGAATTCAGAGACGACACCTCATTCTTCTTTGCGGAGCCGTTAGGTTAAACTCATTACAGTGAACATTGTTTACACACCACAAATCTGTTTCCGCCATTACAAAAATAGGAGGCACCAGAATACACTGGTTTTTTAAGCTGGTGTAGCTAGAACACTGTTTACACAACGAAGTCAGGTTGCACTGATTTCTCTTCACTTATCATGTTCTTCCCCCATGGGGAAATACACTGCTTTTTGGACCACTTCAGCCTCTGCCACCGTAGGCAGCAGCTTCCCGGGATTTCTCTCTGGCTATCCACGTGTCAAGGGGATGGAGCAGCTCTCACAACTTAGCTGGTTTTTGTGGTGTATGGATAGAGCCCTTTTAAATATCTCCCACAGGCAAACAGATCGTGCATCTGTTCTGGAAACCAAACCATGTGAAAAGCTAGGTTAGGAGCTGGGGCCGGCAGCATCGCGTCCTGTCGTACCAGCCATGGTGAGATCAGGCTGTGGGCCCCTGCTCTGCATGTTCCCTTGAGATGAGGAGCAGAGTACAAGTTTCTATTTTTTTTTTACCACAACAGTTCAGTGAGGTCAGTACCCTTTTGGCTTATCCATGAAGCAGTCTCAAGAGATAGATTTTTGCCTCTATTCTAGGGTGATAACATCCAGGAATCAGGAGGAAAAATTGGTCCCAGCTTCATGTACGCTCCATCAGCGTACTTGAAGCATTTTCCCCAACACTAATAGTTCTAACAAAAGCTGAGGGTTTGGGCCTGCAGTCACCCTTTCACTTAGGATTTGGTTCCACTGGCCTTTTTGTTCTCTCCTTCTCGAGCCTTGTCTCCTGAAAGTAAAGTCCTGCTTCCCCTGCTCCCTGCCTCACCTCTTAAATTCTTCCATGGCCCGTCTACCTGCTGAGGGCAGAAGGGCTACGCTGTGAAGTGCAGCCAGCTGCTGATGTCATTTAGCATCTGTACCATCTCCTGCTCTCGTTTTCCTGGGCACTTGTACTGCAGATGGTAACATATGGAGGTCGAGCTCGCTATACATTGGTGCGTGTTTATGAATAATAGACACGCAGATCTTCATACCTCAGCATGGAGGAACCGATGTAGGCCAATAGAAACCAGGAAATCTGTCGACATTGTTCTCCATAAATATAGAAAATGCAAAATCTACCTCTACTCTGTTATCTCAGCTCCCTCAGCGAAGCCAGATGCTGTCCTCCCTCATCTCCCCAGAGTACATCCATTTCAGTCGATGCATATTACTTTCTGCTGAGCCACTGATCCCACAGCATGACATTAGCCGTGCCTCGTTTGTTCATAGGCTTGTCCCCCTTCCATTTTACTCAAGAATTTTATTTTTAATTTAGTTTAGTAATTCTTCCCAGAATGACTGTTTAGTGAGCCACTGATTCTCCAAAACATAGATCAGTTGTTTTAGGTTAGCCAGCAATGCTGCAAATAATACTTTTGTATCAAAATGTAATATAAGATTTATTTACCTCAGCAATATCCTGTGGCCATGATCTCCCTGAGTTAAATGCAGTACTTCCTCTCCTCCACTGTAAAATGTTGCCTTTCGAAGCTCAACGAGTGCCTTCTTGTTCTCTAACATAGAAAAGGTAAATAGGGCATTTCAGCTAGTCTTCTGTTTACCGTCATTGAATACCTCAGGCCTGTCTTCTATTGCTTTTCCCTTTGCAAATTAAAGAGTTTCACACTGTTATCAATTATATGCAAGCCTTATCCCTGTCTTCAGTTGAGAGGATTTTTTTTTTTTTTTTAAGAAATAAATAATCAGAACTGATCACTTGCTGCAAGTGAGGATTCTCAGATTTATGCAATGCCATCATACACCTCCTTCTATTTCAGAACATTCGGCTTTCTTGCTTTTTGCCTGCATTGTACTCTGAACAGATGTCATCACTGGAATTCCTTTAGCAGTGGTAGCTAAACTTAGAGCCAGGCATCTTTTTTCCTACCAGTAGTCTGTCAAAGAATAAATGGAATTCATTTTGCTGTTATTTGAACGTGTGATTTGCTTTCCACAGCTATTCTAACAAGCAGAATTGCAGTAACATTTGTCAGTGAAAGAAAAGTCTAAACCAGCAAAGGGAGCGTGTTCAGAGACAGCACGCTGGAGCTAATACCAGGTATTTGCACTGGAAAATGGATTCGAAATTCCCATTCCACAACAGAGCTTGTAACCTGCAAGTATTTTGTCAGCCAGTCTAAAACTAATGAGGCTACTTCCATTTGAAATACTAAGTACGCAATTCACAAAACAAATTACTTCCTGAAGCTAGTTAGTGAACAACTTTTACCTGGTCTTAAGAAAAAAAAAAACTTTTGAGCATCTAGGCTACACCACTTGGGAATCTTAAGTGTGTTAGGAAGTACGTACCGAGCTGCTGTGAAAAATCAGTAGAAGTCAGCTTAGACAAGCTCCTGCTAATGCAACTGTAGGTAAAAATACAGTGAGCGTGCCACGCTGCGAGGGTGGTAGCTGCAGCACAGCCTGGAAACTTGTTTATGTGCAGGGTGTTTGTGCATAAGGGAATGGCAGCCATTATGCTAGTTGGTGACACACAAAGTTTCAGTCCACAAAGGTTTTTTGGGTTTTACATCAAGGTTTAGGGATGTTTAAGTCAACACGCTACTTGCGTAAGATCAGTATTAGGGTAGGGAATGGGAGACTGCAGGGAAGGATGGTGAATACGAAACAGAGACCCATAGCACCAGCGTCCGTGAACGCAGGACCGAGCATTACAGCTACATACGGGCATTCTTGGGCGCTCACCCGGGACCGCGGGTTAGGGGCTCCAGGTACAGGAGACCGCTGGAGCCAGCCAGGAGAAAAAAACCATTTTGGGAGGCACAAAATGCTTTTGATGGAAGAGAGGAGTTTTTAAAGCAGTGTTTTCAAAGAGGCTCAGTGAATATGCGAGACAACAAGCTAGGCTGGACTTTACACCGAGACAGGGCAGCAGAGAAGCACTGAGATTTGAGACAGTAAGCACCAGCTGTACGAGAGCGAGGGAACTCGGAGGACAGACCAGTGAGAACTGATGAAACGCCTGTAATGAACATAATGCCAGTAGAAGTCTCACACTCTGCCATGAACAGAGTACAAGGCAGCCACTAAAGATGTAGAGCATTTTAAGCACTAGATGAAGGAGTTCTTCAGTGGGAGAGCCCTGTGAACTGCCCCGTTACGGTATCTTTATTCCAGGCACATCTGGATCAGAAAGGTGGCATCAGATTGACCCCAAGAGGAGCGACTACAGCAAATAATTGGTCAGAAGGGTTTAGTTAAGTAAAGAAATGTTTTAAAGCATGGCTGACTTGGGGAGGGTTCAAGACCAGTAGGAACAGTCCAGCCAACGAAGATACAAAATCATAGAGCACAAGTCTGTGAAAGGACAGGACGTGAACATGCCAGTGGTTATAAATCAGACCCTAGATTCTCAAAAGGGTAAGGATATAACGTCCCACTGGAAATAAGAATGATTCCGGCTTGCTTGTTAGAAAACGCATAAGCCCTTTCCGTGGCAGCAGAGGGTTAACTCACCTAGCCAGTCCTTCCCAGGCTCAGATTTCTAGAGCTGTGTGAAAGTCTGAAGATCTTTTTCCCCATGGGATTACAGCTCGCTCAAAATCCATTTGTATGAAGGAACAACGTGTTAACTTGCATTTGCTTCCACTGAATTTCACTTGACAGAATATCCACGTACAGCGATTTGACAGAGCCTGTTCAGCTGTCTCACAATAGTGCCTGCTCTTTAGCCTCAGTGTTGAAAAATGTTGTCACTTCAATGGGAATCCCTTTTTTCCCCTCCGGTAGATTGATGATTTCAGTACTTTTGTTGGGAGCTCAGCTCTTTGTTCCTTAATTCCTTCCTTGCTGACAGGTGAATAGCAGCTGCTTGGAAGATTTCCTGCAGTTCACTGAAAAATCCCCATTTCCTTTCTCTACCATTGCATCACCTTTGCTATCTGGAAAGAATAACCCTGCAGAGGCATTTTCTGCTGCCTGCAATTAAAATTTTTACAAAGAAATCTTCAAAGATGCTCTCCCCATCACCCTACCTTCTTGCTTATCCTCTCTAATCCCGGTTACTTAGGCTCACTGAATTCTCCCTCGGGTGCCTATTTTTAGTTAATTGCCTGCCCAAGCCCTGTAGGTATTCTGCCACCGAAGAGTGAAGTGGATGGATGGCTCGAAGAGAACCATTTTGTTAAAAATTTACGGGTTTCTGTCTTTATCCAAAATTTGCTTCTTGTTCATAACTTATTTCTTACATTTTTCCCTAATTCTCAGAGATAGGAATCCCCATCCGAAGCTCCAAACGCAGTAGTGCCCGACGCGCGTGGTAGGGGAAGGCAGTTTGGTTTAGCCTGGTCCGCTGGACGTTCTCACTCGTATCGCCGACCT